ATATGAAACAACTCATTTGCAGGGGAGTAAATCACGGAAAAGCCGTTTGAGAGCGCGACAGGGCTTACAGCGCAAACACCGGAATTGTGATGCGCACGAGCCCTTCCTTATCCTCTTCTTCTCCTTCCTCTTATTTTTCTTCCTCTGGGCTGGAAATTCTATGGAGTCACTGTGATTATTGTTGTATTATTGTTGTTGTGGTGCTGGTTGTGGTTCTCACATTTCCGGCTGCCGTCACCGTTACTCACACCGCAACCGACTCGTCTGTTGCCGCCGTGAGGTGGAAAATACTACAACAACGGTCACTTACACCGGCGGCGGACTTGCCTCACTCTCCCTGCTCACTATCTCTGTGTGTGTGTGTGTGTGTGTGTCTGCCTCAAACCGTACCACAGAAGCAGCAGAAAAAAAAAGAAAACAGTTGAAAGCCACTGGTCTCTTCCTTCACCCTCACTCTGACTCTGCCGAGCCGAACACAAATTAAAACAGAAAACAACACAAAAGATGAGTTCATATTTCGTCAACTCGCTCTTCTCCAAATATAAAAGCGGGGACTCGTTACGTCCGAACTACTACGAGTGCGGGTTCGCGCAGGACCTGGCTGGCAGCCGGCCCACCGTGGTGTACGGCCCGAGCTCCGGCGCCACCTTCCAGCACGCTCCGCAAATCCAGGACTTCTACCACCACAGCGCCTCGACGCTGCCCAGCAACCCATACCAGCAGAGCCCGTGCGCGGTCACATGCCACGGTGAACCAGGGAACTTCTACGGATACGACGCGTTGCAGCGGCAGACACTTTTCGGCACCCAGGACGCGGATCTGGTTCAGTACAGCGACTGTAAGCTGGGAGGCGCGCCCGGACTCGGGAGCGAGGACGCGGAGGGCACCGAGCAGAGTCCCTCGCCGACGCAACTCTTCCCTTGGATGAGGCCGCAAGGTGAGGAAATGGCGAGTCTAGTAAATTTTTTCTCTTCTTTTTTCCCTCCAAACCATAGAACTTCACTCCTACAAAGCAGTCTGCAGTAAGAGCAAAGCTGCTTGTCCTCCAGGAACCGAAGGCAGAAAATATAATCATACAGGGAGCAGGAAATAGTGGGAGAAAGTTGGAGAAGTTGTTTTGAAAGCAGCAATTTAGGGAGAACAATTAGAGGTTTCTGCGTTCAAAGTGGGGAAACAATAGCACGTTTATGGTTTTATTGGTAGCAGCAAAACATGTGTGAATGACTTTAGGGTTTAATTGCACCGTCCCAAACAGAGAGAGGAAAAACCCCGGGATAAGAAGGGGGGTGATGGAAAATAGACAAGAAACGGGGAGAAATGGTGGTTGACGAGGGGGAACTGAACCTCAGTGCCTTCAGTTAGAACTAAACGCAGAAAATCTTAGTTTCAACAGACAGGAAGAAGATACCGAGATGTTGAAGGTAGTTGTTTCCAGCCTCACCGACACATTTTGGACATGCAGCTCTGACCCCGGTTAAACTTTTACTGGGCTTTGTTTTTTTCGGTTTACGACTTGCCTGTGGTGGGATTATTTGGCTACACGGTGGTCAGTTGTCTACAGAGCTCAGAGAATGCATGTGAGAACAGAGAGAGCATTTTTTGCCATTGCACAGCGTCTGTGGTTTCTAAATTCACAGACCTCGCGTAACAAAATTATCCCCCAACAGAAGTCCCTCGGATTCATATTTAATTCGCTTTTGTGTTTTGTGGTGCAAAAAGCCATTGATATATAGATGAGACCGGATCGGTTCAACTCCTTCACATTATAAATCACGTAAGATGCATAAATGTGACTTTCTTTGAAAGAACTGTTTTAAAGCAGAGCCGTGTTCTAATTTATAACGTAAATCAGCACCACAGTCAGACCTAAAGACTTGTGCAAGTTGGCATTTTTGTTTTTTGTGCTTTGAAGGGAGAGAGTGAATGGACTGGCATGTATAGTAGCCTGTTTTGTCTGAGTCCATATCTCTCTCTCCTGCTCTGTGTGTGAGTATGTGTGTGTGCGCGCGCGCTTATTTTATGGCTTATGTTCTCGGCTGTATTTTCAAAGTAGGGCTGCAGACGCTGTTATGACCTGTGCTGAACTTTTGTGACTTCAAGCTAATGATCATAAAATTAAAAATAAATAAATAAAACAACAACTCAGATGTGTATTAATCTGAAGCTACCTTCTCTCCATCCTTACAGGATGCAGCTTTTTACCCAGCTGCTAAAGAACCTAGCAATAATAATAGCGGGCAATTCACATTTACGCACGATTTAGTAAAGCGTTTCCTACAACATTTCCGCCTCAGCGTTAGTGTAAATTCTGGTATTTTACATCTTAAAACGATGTACTTGCTCGACTCCCTGCTTATCATAACTGTGTGTGTAAAGTCTCTTTACAAAAACAGAAACAAAATAAAATAATGATAAAATGGAGACGCACCAGAGACCGACTAAGGTTTTAGTCTTTTTACTCTTCTTCCCCTTCCATTTCATTTTATATATATATTACACCCCTCCTTTGGAATATATATATATATATATATATATATTCCAAAGGAGGGGTGTAATATCAGAGTTTGACTGTAAACTTGCGAACATGAGCCAGTTTTACGACTTCACCCCTGTGGTTGGAAGTCTTGATAAATGATTTCTCTGTACGACCTTAAACATGACACAAAGAGAACGGAAATGTGATTAGGCCAGCTAATAAATGTCTATGTGTAATGGTATTAGCTCCCGTTGGCCCAGCTTTCACTGGCATCTGCTGTCTCCTTCCTCAAATGTCATCTCCCGTACATTTATTTAGTATTTGTTCCAGTGGCTTTGTAAAGGAAAACAACTAAATTTGTTTCATTACTGTAAGCTTATAACAACATTTTCAACAATACAGCATGCCACAAAGGTAGCATATATTCTTAATGGAAAAAACACAAGCTAACATTTATATGAGAAAGATAAGTAGAACTATTATTCTACTTATCTTTCTCATATAGACGCATCTTTCTCATATAGACACATATATTCTTCGAACACAGGCTGTACGTAAACGGCGAGGATTGAAGGTTCAGTTCCTCGTGGTGTTGCGTCGTAAGAAACTGTATAGCACGGCTACTGTCACACTCCTCTGACAACACTCACAGAGGACCTCTACACCGCTTACAACTTTTTGCATTTCCATGTCTAATCTTTTCCCGCGGCTTGTTCCCATATTGTGGACATGTAAACTTTTTAAAAAATTAGACCGCAACCTGTACAACTGTTTCGGTAAGATGTGTTCTTGATACAGTGTAGTGCAGGAAATTTCAACATTTACCTAGTCACCCCTAGTGTCACCCCTAGTGTCACCCTATATCAGAGTGGTCGACTATATGAGACTATGCCCTCAAACTTTACTTAAACCCTTACATTTTAGCGTTGCGGAGAGATAGTTGTCTGCATGTGAAATGGGGGCTGTAGACCCAGAGTCCACTAGAAGTCCATTAGAGGCTTGACGACCCCCGTCCCCAAAAAACAAAAACATCAAATATGAATTTTCTCGCTCTCTCATAAAACATTCTTATTATCCAATACGGTTCAACGTGTTCCCAGATCGATGGTCTTCGAGCACGATTAGCGACAATCAATACAAAACTTGTAAAAGCTGAGTTTCCCTTCAGAGCAATACTTTGGACGCAGCCTTTTTTACTTCAAAGCTTTTATGGCCACTGGCATATTTTGTCCATGGCACGGCGCTCCCTTTTTATGACATAATAATAAAGGCAAAAGACAAACATGTTTATGGAAATATAATCACTTACACAAATGTCCTCTTTGTATAAACCGTGGAGATACTGCTGCCAGGCTGTCATGGTTAAATGTGTCGTTTTAATCGTCCACTTTACGCTGAAACAACTTGGAGTTTATTAACAGCCCCAAGATGTCATGTTGGATGCATTTTAGCTTAACCTTTAGACATTATTTCAATTTAAAACATCGCCCAGTTTGTTGAAAAATGTACCTTCCAAGGGTTTATATAAAATGATACGAATGCCAGAAAACAACCAAACCATATCAATAGACTACAGCACAATGCGGACCTGCATTTAGCAAATGTTTTGAGAAATAGTTCCTTCTTATTCCAAAATTTCATTGTGGGCATCTTTTAAAGTCCTTAGAAAAGACCTTTAGGCTCCTCTCAAATACACTGAGTATTTTTCACGTTTGAAAAGCATTTACGATGCATTTATAGTACTAAATATTTATATGCACAAGGGGAAGTCTTCAGTTGATTTGTCTACATAAGAGACGTCTTAATTACTGCAGTAAAACCGGCTGAGCGGTATAGAGTTTCAGTTTTTAGACTCGTGTTCAAAGAGCGCGTGCGTCCATTTTTACTGTGCTCTTGTAACTTCACGTACGGCTGTCACATAATTTCACAGCGCCTGCATTAAACTGTTTTTTTTCCTTTGGCACATGCGTATTTGATCCAGACTGCAAATTGTATAACACTGGACGATGTCTCGCTTTGTGAGTCGTGTTCATTTCTGTCTGTAAACGAGCCTACTGTAATTGGCACGAAAGCTAATTCCCCATCATTAGCAGAACAAAGAACTTGTTGGAGGAAAAGCGATGACCTGGGAGTGTACATGCCAGTAGACGCCTCCAACAAGGTGAGGTTTAGACGTACAAGGTGGCAATTTGTGTATAGTGTTGAAATTGTTATAAGAGCAATATGAAATATAGACATGTAAACATTATAAGTTAAAGGTCAACACGAAAGGAGCCATAGCAAGTAGACAAAAAGCACTGATTTAGATGGGAGAATTTAGCAACACTTTGGAAACTTATTTTCAGGCAAAGTCATCAAACGTTTTTTGTTTGCTTAAGTTAAATTTCATCCACATCCACCACTCTTTTGTGTATTAAAATCAGAGGCGTTTCAAAATGACCGAGGAGACTTTGCTAACACCACGGTGCACTCACTACAATATTCGCAGTCAGTTGATATTGGTAAAGGTACAGTAATACGTCAGAAATAATGAGAGCATTACCAAATCCATAAGAAAAAGAAACACTCAAAATATCACGAAGGCGAAGGTAAATTTTCACGAAAACCTGAAAGTGCTGAAGGTTTCCCACGCAAGTGCATTTGAGTGCGTGTGTGCGTGGTGTCAAGTTGATTATTAGACATGGAAGAATGAAGTTTTGTGTCTAACAATTTTCTCTCTTCACTCTCCCACCTTCCCCCAGTAGCTGCTGGCAGGAGGCGGGGCCGCCAAACCTACAGTCGCTACCAGACCCTGGAGCTGGAGAAGGAGTTCCTGTTCAACCCCTACCTGACCCGGAAACGCCGTATCGAGGTGTCGCACGCGCTGGCGCTGACGGAGAGGCAAGTGAAGATCTGGTTCCAGAATCGGAGGATGAAGTGGAAGAAGGAGAACAACAAGGACAAGTTCCCCAGTAGCAAGAGCGAACAGGAGGCAGTGGAGAGGGAGAGGAGGGAGAAGGAGCTGCGGGATGGCGTCAGCGGCGGAGGTGGCGGTGGTGCAGGAGGAGGAAGTGGAGAAGGAGGTGGTGGAGGAGGCTCGGTGGCAGGCACAGCGGGGTCACAGGCTTCTGTGAACGACGATTGCTGCGAGAAAAGCCACAAGCAAATGTAGGGGAGAAAGAAAATGGGGTAGATGGGGACAGGGTGGGTGTAAATGTTAGGCAGGATGGGGTGAGGGGTGGGCTGTTTTTTCTTAACTGAGGCCACTGGACTCCCCTGCTGTCTCCACGATTCAATCGTTGGAAGGGAACGTGAGTTTCTAAAAATGGTGACTGGCTAACTAGATGGACTTGAGAGGAAAAAAACGTGACAATGAAGCAAGAAAACATAGTCTACACTAGTGTTTAAAATAAACTTAAAAAGAAGAAAAAAAAAGATAGCTTTCTTTCTTTGTGGAACAATTATCGTGGAAACATTTCTATATTGTTAGAAGTTAATCATTAACAATTTTATCTTTGGCAGCTGTATAGTTTTTAAGTTAAAATGATGATGATGATGATGATGATGATGATGATGATGACGACGATGATAATGGTGCACTTTTTACTGTACTTTTCACTTCTATGTTGTTGTTATGGCAATGATTGATGATGATGGTGATGACGTAGCAATTAATGAAATTTCCAACAACATGAAACTGCCTATTTATGCCGTTTTAGTAGGTCGAGTCTCTTTTTTACACCCTCTAACTGTCGTTTTTTCCCTTTGTTTATTTGTTTGTTTTCTTGTTTTGTTTTGTTTTTTGATTGGTGGTGTTTGTCTTATGTTGTTTTCTCTTTGGGGAGGGGGGTTAAACGCATGCGCGCAGTGCAGATTCAAAAGCAAGAACATTTATAAGAATAAAAATGGGAAAATGTGATAAAAAGTCGAAGCTGAGGGTTCCTTTTATGTCTTCGTATAATCGTATAATCCCCGCCTTTCATCTTTTGTGTGGCACTCTCCATCCTTTCCCGCATCCTTCCATCCTTTTCCTTTTTATCCCTCTTCACTCTATCACCACGCAGACTTGCCAGACCGCTCAGTTCACGAGGCCAAACATTTAGCCTTGACTCGGAAATCTCTTCTTAAAACAACAGACATCCACCCTCTTATACCCTCACGGTGACACACTCGCGCACAATCCTCATCCTTCCAAACATTACTTTATTTATGGCGTGCCACTCCACCTGCATTTACATTATTAGAGACCTCTAAAGTTATCATTACACCGTCTTCCATCATCATCACGGTGATACTTCAGATCCGATTGTTTCCATATGGGAAGCTCAAATTCAGGGAGCATGCGCTTGTCCGCATTCACCTAAACTGTAGCGTATCCGTGAAGTCTGGGTTTGAATGCTATCAAATCACTGAATATTTGGCTGGTCGGGTTTTCAGGCGTTGGCTGGAAGACAGATTCAGAGTAAAGCTTTAATAGGAAGACAAATAGGCTTCGAATAATTGCACAAATCTAACAGGCTTTGACATATTGAGGCAAAGTGGACCACATGTGCAGTTTCCACAATAAAAGCAGATGCACTAATGTATACCTAAATGTTCGAAATATTTCATTCTGTTTGTCATTTTTAGTTTTAAAGTAATGAACCACAGTTAAGAAGCCTGTACTTGAAAATATAATTTCAGAGTACATATTTACAGACTGCACTTGTTCATTTCACTAGCTGGGCTTATGTCCTCAGTTTAGGTTTGACAGCGTTTAAGTAGATAAAGGCGAATGGCTCAAACATGAATTAAGCTGCGGTTTGGAGAAGGCCTTGGAGGGGACCCGTGGCGGCTCCCGGGCCTGGCAGATACTCATACTAATGAGAAGTGAAGACGTGAAAGAATTGAAAAAAAAAAAAAGGGGGGGGGGAGTGGGGCACCAAAACGAGAACGAACGGCTTGTAGAACTGGGATAATGATGTGGTCCCGCTTCTGAAATTCAGATATTTTATGTCCAATAATATTTTACCAACAGGAGATAGAGACACACTGTAAATGAGGGATATGGCAGTTGTAGTTGTCAAAATATAAATGTTTTGGAGCACACTGGACAACATTTCCAAGGAGTTTTTTTTTATCATATCTGATTGGTGAGCTAAGTAATCATGACTGATATATTTCTGATTTAATAAGCACTTTAAGTATGATCAAAGCATACTATTAAAATATCTAATCTCGGCGGGGGGTTCCTGATGTTAAACAACTGCATGCAAACGTCATAGCCATGCTTTGCGATCTTGTCCTGCTACATGAACAGTTAAAACCGAGACAGATGCCACCTTTTTTCAGAGGTTGAAGCGTACTACATCCGATTATGTCTGACTAGTCACCAAAAACAAATCTTTTTTTCTCAATCCTCAAACTCTCCCTCGTTCTTCCAGTTCATAACTCTTATTTAGACTCAACGCGCAGATTTAATCCTGATTGAATTGAATGCTGCGTGGAAATTGAACATCTAAGGACGTAGCAGAGCACCTGCACGCTAGGTGAGTTTCTCTGAATCTACGAGGGCGCAGGATTCATTAAAGCTGAATTCAAGAGTAAAGGTGATTTATGAAACGGCATAGAGAGGTGCGCTTTGTGTTCTTCGGTGAATCTGTATAAGATCAAGACTCGGTATGCTTGTTCTTGAAACCATATCCATTACTCGTTAACTTTTGTTTGCCTGCTTTATAGTTGGAGCGTGATATGGTATGAGCAATATTAAAACGTACTTTTTTTTATATTAGTGGAGAGATTTCATCTTTCACCGTTGGCTCACAGAATTATTTTCAAAGTGACACCTTTGGACTGCTTCCATTAAACGTTATCTGTTGTTTGCATTACATCCTCGTCTATCACTCTGCCTGTACTGACCAGACAGCAGCGGTCCACTGCAGGCACACAACAGCTCGTCTGTTCTGCTCTCTGCATGTGTGGTCCCCTCAAACCATGAGCCGGGACAAGACACTGAGAACAAGAGAATTCCGTTTTCTGTTGAAGTCTGCTCGGCTGCTTCACATACGTTCCAATTGTTCTTCTTCTAATAGTGTCCTCTGCTGTTTGTTTGAAGCCCATTTCAAGTATGGCAGTTAATGATTTAACTTTGAGTTGAATATTTGATTTCAGTCTTCTTGGTTTCTAGGTGATTGGCGAAGATTCTGAGTTGCCCCGACTTTTTTGTATAATGTTCTACATGTTGTAGGAGTCACTCCCTGTGATCCCTTTATGATTTTGCATCCGGAGGGAAACCCCGTCCGCCATTGGACATCTTGACATCACATGGACGCTCCGTCACGTGTTCTTGGAGGCAATGGGAGGTGGGGGATGAGAAATACAGGGTGGGGTGATTGTGTGTGTGTGTGTGTGTGTGTGTGTGTGTGTGTGTGTGTGTGTGTGTGTGTGTGTAAAACTATAGACAGTAATACCCCACCATTAATTCACTGTCGCTCCTAAAAAGATCGACATTCAACCACCCAGGCCCACAAATCACCGGAGCCAAATTATGAGTTCGTTGGACTTCGCCAACGC